CTCTCCCAGCGCTCTTTCAGTGTTTCTTTCTCTGGCTCTGCTTCTTCTCCCCAACTCCTCTCTGTTGGTGTCCCCCAAGGTTCAGTCCTTGGTCCCTTACTGTTCTCCATCTATACTGCCTCCCTTGGTAAACTCATTAGCTCCTTTGGCTTCCAATATCATTTCTTTGCAGATGACACGCAAATCTACCTGTCCTCTCCTGATCTCTCCCCGTCCCTCTTGACTAGTGTATCTGACTGCCTCTCTGCTGTTTCTAACTGGATGGCTGCCCACTTCCTTAAACTAAACTTGACCAAAACTGAAATTCTGGTCTTTCCTCCCTCAAGTGTTGTTACTCCTGTGTCTGTCTCCCTCCAAGTCAACGGTGCTACCATCAGCTCCACCACGCAGGCTCGCTGCCTAGGTGTTCTCTTTGACTCTGACCAGTGGCGGCTCTAGACTTGGCGAGGCCTTAGGCGAAACTCATACATGAGGCCCCCACTAACACCATTATTGGAAAAAAACAGCAGTTGACTTGTGTGTGTATAAGAAGCTGTAGATATATTGAAGGGCGGGCTTGCAGTACTGGATATAGAGAACTAGTCTTTGTATACGTCGTTGCATTGTCTACCTGTGTGTGCCTGAGAGTGTGTGTCTGGCAGTGAGTATCTTTGTATATGTATGCATGTTTCTCTGAGCATGTGTATGTTTGTGTACTGCCTGTGGCCTTTGGCATTAAGTTTATGGCAAAGCTATGTTTTATGACAGTGTGTAGAATGATTGCCTTCAGAGGGTGACAGGGTGAGTAAAGGAGTAACTGTGGCAGGGTGAGTGTAAAAAGAGCAGGAGGGTGCCAGAGTGCAGAGAGTGGTGCCCATGTGTTTAGAGGGAGAGATAGTGTGTGCGGGGGTGACAGAGTGTGTGGGGGGTGACAGCGTGTGAGGGGGTGACAGGTAAAAGGGGTGACAGTGTGTGTGTGGAGGGGTGACAGCGCGCAAAAAGGGGTGACAGTGTGTGTGTGGGGGTGACAGTGTGTAAAAGGGAGTGACAGGGTAAAAGGGGGGGGGGTGACAGTGGGTGTGTGCTGGGGGTGACAGTGTGTGTGCGTGGGGGGGTGGGGACAAAGTGTGGCTGGTGGGTATAGGGGTGGCGTGTGGCATAGTGTGTGAGGTGGTGCATAGTGTAGGGAGGTGGCATAGGAGGGGTGGTATAGTGTGAGAGGGGGTGGCATAGTGTGAGAGGGTTAAGCATTAGTGTAAGAGGTAAAGGGACAGAGTAAGAGGGAAGAGACAGAGGGGGGAGACCTATTGTGAGGGAGGGTGACATAGTGTAGGGGGGGTGAAAGGGGGTGACAGAGTGAGAGGGGGTGACAGTATTAGGGGGTGACAGTGTGAGGTGGGGTGATGGTGTGTGGGGAGTGACAGGACAAGGTGACAGAGTAAGGGGGTGACAGTGTGGGGGGGTCACAGGGTGGGTGACACAGTAAGAGGTGGGGTGATAGAGTGAGGGGGTGACAGGTGAGGTAGCAGGGTGAGAGGGGGTGACAGGTGGGGTGGCAGGGTGAGTGACAGGGTCAAATGTGGGGTGAGAGGGGAGGCAGGGTGAGGGGGTGACAGGTGGGGTGACAGTGTGACGTGGGGTGACAGTGTGTGGGGAGTGACAGGGTGAGGTGAGAGTAAGGGGGTGACAGCGTGGGAGTCACAGGGTGGGTGACAGTAAGAGGTGGGGTGACAGGGTGAGAGGTGGGGTGGCAGGGTGAGATGTGGGGTGACTGGGTGAGAAGGGGTGGCAGGGTGAGGGGGTGACAGGTGGGGTGGCAGGCTGAGAGGGGGTGACAGATGGGGTGGCAGGGCGACAGGTAAAGTGGTAGTGCGTGAGAGAGGGTGACAGGATGAAGTGGCAGGGTGAGGGGGGTGACAAGGTGAAGTGGCAGGTGAGGGGAGGTGACAGGTGGGGTGGCAGGGTGAGGTGGTGAAATGGGGTGACAGGGTAACAGGGAGGGACAGATGGGGTGGCAGCATGAGAGAGGAGTGACAGGTGGAGTGGCAGGGTGACGGGGTGAGAGGGGGTGACAGGTGGGGTGGAAGGGTGAGATGCGGGTGATAGGTGGGGTTACATAGTTACATAGTTACATAGCTGAAAAGAGACTTGCGTCCATCAAGTTCAGCCTTCCTCACATTTGTTTTTTGCTGTTGATCCAAAAGAAGGCAAAAACCCAGTTTGAAGCACAATTTTGCAACAAGCTAGGAAAAAAATTCCTTCTTGACCCCAGAATGGCAGTCAGATTTATCCTTGGATCAAGCAGTTATTACCCTATATTGAAAGATTATATCCTTGAATATTCTGTTCTTGCAAGTATGCATCTAGTAGCCGTTTGAACATCTGTATGGACTCTGATAAAACCACTTCTTCAGGCAGAGAATTCCACATCCTGATTGTTCTTACAGTAAAAAAACCTTTCCTTTGCCTTAGACGAAATCTTCTTTCTTCCAGTCTAAACGCATGGCCTCGTGTCCTATGTAAAGTCCGGTTTGTGAATAGATTTCCACACAATGGTTTGTATTGGCCCCGAATATATTTGTATAATGTTATCATATCCCCTCTCAGGCGACGTTTTTCTAAACTAAATAGGTTTAAATTTGTTAACCTTTCTTCATAGCCGATATGTTCCATTCCTTTTATTAATTTTGTAGCCCGCCTCTGCACTTTTTCTAGTGCCATAATATCCTTCTTTAGAACAGGTGCCCAAAATTGCACAGCATATTCAATATGGGGTCTTACCAGTGATTTATAAAGAGGCAAAATTATATTCTTGTCCCGAGAATGAATGCCCTTTTTCATGCATGACAATACCTTACTGGCCTTGGCCACTGCTGATTGACATTGCACATTGTTGCATAGTTTGTTGTCTATAACAATTCCCAAGTCCTTTTCGTGTGTTGTTATCCCTAATTCGCTTCCATTAAGGGTATACGTTGCTTGTGTATTCTTTACGCCGAAGTGCATAACTTTGCATTTTTCAACATTAAATTTCATCTGCCATTTGAGTGCCCAGTCTCCCAGTCTATCTAAATCCCTCTGCAGCAAAGTAATATCTTGCTCACATTGTATTGTTTTACAAAGTTTTGTGTCATCTGCAAACACTGAAACATGACTTTCAATGCGGTCTTCAAGATCATTTATAAAACATGTTAAATAGAAGGGGTCCCAGAACAGACCCCTGAGGGACACCACTTGCCACCTCTGTCCAGCTTGAAAATTTACCATTAATGACAACTCTTTGTACTCTGTTTTTAAGCCAATGTTCTACCCAAGAACAAGCATTTTCATCTAGACCGATTTCCTTGAGTTTCAACACTAATCTATTGTGTGGAACTGTATCAAATGCCTTGGCAAAATCCAAAAAGATCACATCCACGGCAACACCCTGATCTATACTTCTACTTACTTCTTCGTAGAACGCAATCAAGTTAGTTTGACATGACCTGTGCTTCATAAAACCATGTTGATTTTTGCTGATAACCATGTTCTTCTCAAGGAATTCTTGAATATTATCCCTTAATAAACTTTCAAATATTTTACCAGCCACAGAAGTTAAGCTCACAGGTCTATAATTTCCAGACCTGTGGCAGGGTGAGATTGGGTGACAGGTGGGGTGGAAGTGTGAGAGAGGGGTGACAAGGGGGAGTGGCAGGGTGAGGGGGTGACAGGTGGGGTTCAGGGTGAGGGGGGGTCAAAATGTACCTTTTTCCCTGGTGGTCCAGTGGGGTCAATCTGTCCCTGGTGGTCCAGTGTCCCCCAGTGGGCTTTCCGGTCTGCAGCTCCGCCGGATGCAGAGCTGCAGACCACATGGGGAATGTCTCGCGATCTCCATTCAGAGCGTTGCCGTGGTAACCCGCGGCAACGCTCCGATTGGCTGGAGAGCGCGAGACACCTCAGTCTGCAGCTCACACCCGGCGGAGCTGCAGACTGAGGCTGGCTCTCTCCCCGGGCGGACTGACAGGAGGGCCTCGCACCCGGCGGCACAAAGGGCAAGCAGCCGGGCCCCCTCATGTGTCGGGTCCTCGATCATAGACCGAGAACCCGACATGTCAGTCTGCTCTCAGGTGAATTAGGCGGCCGCGAGGCCCCTGACTGCGCGAGGCCTTAGGCGG